ACTTTAAGATCTTTACCAAAAATTCTATTAGCAGTTGGTAATAACACATTTAACATTATTCTGAAAAATAAAACATGTACATAGCAAAGTGAAAATGATGCTGGGGGGGGGGGGACCTCCATGAATGGTGCAGCTTGTTCCTCTCTGAGTGGCTGGTCAGCTACATTGATCAGTGTGAAAATGAGCTAGGGAAAGAGACTTGGTTCTCTTTCCTGTCCCCTCTGGGGTGGATTGTGCATAGGAGTAGTTGTCCTAGGACCTCCCTCAAGTGCAGGGGGCTGTATTTATCCCCCCCCTTGCATGGGGAGCATACAGGAGAAAAACTCTAAGTGCATTCCTTCTCAACCCCCACTTCAATAACAACAATAATAATTCCTAGCTCTTATATAGCGATTTTTATCAGCAGATCTCAGTGCAAGGACAAGAATTATTTTTCCCAAGAGGTAACTTCTGGCCCAAAAAGTTTCCCTGAAAAGGGTTCACGTTCTTAACCAGAACAGAATGTAAATTAGCCAATAGCAAGTCACAGTTGAGGTCCTCATTTAGGGATATCATCAAAATTGGCCAATATGTTGATAAATGTCAACATTTCAGCAAGTGTTTAAAAACACGCCTGCACACGGTTAACTGTCATGTGAAATATGGGTGTGGTCTCAAATATTGTGGGTGAATTTCTGGAGGTGTGCAGAAAATTTGGTCATAAGAATGTGGATTTAGATAATGAGGACTACATTTACGGAGCTCATATTAAAGTGCCTCATGACATGTACAATTGCACAAGCACAGGAATGGAATTATTTTCAGATGAACAACTCAAATACTTAGTGCGACTGAAAATAAGGGATTTGTGCTGTCCAAAGGTATATCTAAGTGCTCTCAATGGTCTGTACAACTTATTGATAGATTTTCAATAATAGCAAGAGGCTTTTTTACATGCAGTTTTACACTGATCAATGCCATTTTGATGATTAAATATGACCCCTTCTAGTCGTGCATTCATTTGCATTATGGTTAACATCTTATTTCTTGCCATATCAAACAATGGACTTTGCAACTAGGAAGAAAACCAGTAGCAGGTGAAGCTAATTTTCAATCCTCTTGAAACCTATTTGCTATTAATTTCATATAAAAATAATTTAACAGAAAAAATGTTTTTAAGTCCTCACAGGTTAATTAGGGTTTGTCTTGCCTGTACTTCTGAGCTATTTGCTCTTCCACAAATGTTGAAAGTCTGAGTTTTTACTTGTACTCCCAGGGTAAAAATGGCATCTCTCTTCTCTCCATTTATACCTCAATACATCCAGAGGGTCTTGTGGTTAAAACACAACAGGAGACCTGTGCCCACTTTGCCATAGAACTCCTGTTTAACTTTGGGTAAGTCATTTAATCTTTCTGCACCTGTTTTCCAAAATGGAGATATTTACCTACAGTTGTTTACAGTGGCTTAATTAATTAAGCTACTGTAAATTAATATTTGTAAAGCACTGTAAGATCTTCACATTGAGGGGCTATATATACATATATATGCCAAGTATTATGATTATATGCTATGCTGATATAATTAGCTGGGATCTTTGATCATTTTTATAAACTCACAGTTTTTTCTAGTATCAGAGGGGTAGCCGTGTTAGTCTGAATCTGTAAAAAGCAACAGAGGGTCCTGTGGCACCTTTAAGACTAACAGATGTATTGGAGCATAAGCTTTTGTGGGTGAATGCCCACTTCGTCGGATGTGGGCATTCACCCACGAAAGCTTATGCTCCAATACATGTTAGTCTTAAAGGTGCCACAGGACTCTCTGTTGCTTTTTACAGATCCAGACTAACAAGGCTACCCCTCTGATACCTGACACCATGCAAGGCACTGCATTTATCCGTATGGAATGGAAATCTATCAACCTCATGAAGAAACAGTTTTTTCTACACTTTCAGATGTCATTTTATTGGCAACTGCTCCAAATTTACTTGGACTGTGAAATATGTTTGGGGTTCTTTGTGCAAGAACAATTTATTTATTGTCCGAATAAGTATGTGTTAGTGGACAAGATATCAATGAGGAATTTCTCTTATATCTCCACTAGTTAGTTATTTTTCATTTTTGGTGTGTTCTTGTCCTATCTTTTCCGCTTAGTCATGTGTCTCTATATGGTCAATTTTTTAACTGACAATACTTTGATACAAAGGAAATGTAAACAATAGAAGCATTTTCAAAATGTATTCACGATCAGATGTCTGAAAAAACTGATTTGTTGGAGATAGTAAGCAGATTATTAAAATAGTGCTTTTCAGTTATTCATAAGTCCTTAAATGTGG